TGTGCGGTGTGCCCTTTCTACAATTGCTTGTCCGGTAGGTGAGGGTGGGATTCCTGTGATATGTGAAATTCCTCACTCTGATAGGAAATTTCTTACCTTTTCAGAGACGTACGCTGGTCCGTTATCGGTTTTTATCTGTTTTGGAGTGCCAAGGGTAGCAAAACAGCTTAGCCAGTGTCTTATTACATCCTTGGCTTTCTCACCTGTGTGTGCTGTAGCAGTTATGTACTGTGAATGTGTGTCTACAGTTACATGTACATATTTCAAGGTGCCAAATTTGGGGATGTATGTGACATCTGTTTCCCAGATCTCATTGGCCATTAACCCTCTGGGGTTAACGCCTTCCTGAGATGGCATGGGGGTGATTTTTTGACAATCTGGACAAGTCAATATGATATCTCGAGCCTGATTAATTGTAATTTTGAATTGTCTCTTTAGAGAGCGTGCATTCTGATGAAAAAATGAATGGGACAATTTTGCTTGCTCTAGGGTCCTGGGTACTATGTTAAACATTGCTGCTTTGTCAGCCTCCCGGTTCCCTGCAGCTATTGGCCCTGGCATGTCAGTGTGGGATCTGATGTGCATTATGTAGAAATCAAACTTTCTGTGATTGACAAGAAACCAGATAGAACGCATTTCAAACAAGAGATGAGGGTTAGAAACATCTCGAAGAAACAAACATTCCAGATGTGAGACTAACCCTGCAGCACAACAAGAATCAGTAACAATATTAACAGGTTGTTCAGAAAACTTTCCCAAGGCAATACGAATGGCAGCCAGTTCCAGAACCTGCACAGAGCTTTGGTTCAAGGTCTGTACTTCTCATTCCCATTGTCTTGTATCAGGATTTACCCAAGTTACTGCAGCCTTTTCTGTTCACCCAGATGCATTTGTAAAGACTGTGAGGCCTTTTACTGGCTCACTTTTGCATCTAGTTGTGGCCCTTAAAGGTAAATTATTGATTTCTGCCCAAAGTCTGTGCTTAGGGAGATTGACTGAAATGTCACCATCAAAACCTGCCAAGGCAGCTTGGAATCCTGTGTCCTCAGCCAGCATCCAATCCAGATTGTCCTTCATGGCTGGGAGGTAGATGATTGCTGGATCCCTTCCGTCCAGTTCCTGTAGTCATCCTCTGCCTTTAATGACAAGCTTAGTAAACATTTCATTAGTTGTCCATACAGTTTTAGGTGGTGTGTGGGGCAGAAACAGCCATTCCAGAACCAGCAGCGGGTCTTTCTCAGTCTGATCCCACTGAAACAAGACTCAAATGGCTGGTACCTGCTGGGAACTAAGGCCAGGCAGATTTGCAGTTCAGGATCTCTCCTCCTGCCCTGCCTATTTTCTATCGCCTTGGCCCAAATGTCTAACGCCTGTTTGGCCTCTGCTGTCAGAGATCTGTCAGACATTAGGTCAGAGTCCCTCTTTAGCAACACAAACAGAGGGAGTAGCTCCTCTCTGATTAAGCCTAGAATAGGCCTTAACCAATTAATGGCTCCCAGGAGTTTTTGCAACTCATGTAAGGTTAAAGTGTCTTTTACCTTGAGCTGCAGTGGCTGTGGGGAAATTTCTTTTTGTGTAATCCTCCATCCAAGATAGCTCCAGGTCTGCGATCGCTGGATTTTCTCTGATGCAACCTGCAACCGTGCTTCTTGGACAGCATCAGTCAAGGAAGTAACAACAATTTGCAGTCCATGTTCTGTGGCCATGCTAATTAAAATATCATCCATGTATTGGTAGATTATTGCAGAGGGAAAATGCTTTCTGATGGGGTGAATAGCGTTTGCCACTACTGTTTGACATATTGTAGGACTGTTTTTCATCCCCTGAGGAAGGACAACCCAGTGATACCTTTGCATGGGTGGTGAGTTGTTCAATGCCGGGATGGAAAATGCAAACCTTGGGGCATCCTTGGGGTACAGAAAGATGGTTAAAAAGCAGTCCTTTAAATCAATTATAATTAGCGACCAATTTGCTGGGAGCATAGTGGGTGAGGGCAACCCTGGTTGCAATGCTCCCATCGACTCTATGACTGCGTGTACTGCCCTGAGGTCCTGCAGCATCCTCCATTTGCCAGTCTTTTTGGGGATGCAAAACACAGGAGTATTCCAGGGACTGTTTGTTGGCACAATATCTCCTGCTTCTAATTGCTCTTTTACAAGCCTTTTTAAATGTTCAAGCCATTCCTTTTTCATAGGCCATTGATCTACCCAGACCAGCTGGTCACTTTTCCAGACTAGCTTAATCAGTGCTTGGGACGGCTGACCAATGGCCCCTATTGAAAAACCTGGCTGCTTGCAGGAGAAATTTGCATGACTGTACCCAACTGTACAAGTACATCTCTTCCCCACAGTGAACAAGAAATTGGAGCAATAAAGGGAGCTACTTTTGCTAATCGTCCCTCTGGTCCCAAGACAGTGAGTACTTGGGCACTCTGTCTGGGCCTTTGTGTGCCTCCCACCCCGTGAATGGTTGCAGCAGGGCAAACAGTGGGCCAGTCAAGCGGCCATTCAGAGTCTTTTATGATGGAAACATCAGCTCCCGAATCCAAAAGGCCTGTAAATCTGTGCCCATTAACCTGGCACGTCATCATGAGCAGCTGTGTGGCTGTGATGGCTGCTGCCCAGTAAACTTGTGGGTGTCCTGTGCTGCCAAAGGCCCCTGAACCCCGCTCCCTCCCCCCCTCCCCTACAGGCGACGCACTGTAGAAGGGTATTAGTTGAGCAATCTTCTGTCCCTTTGGAATGAAACAGGGGGGTGAAGGGGTCCATGCCATTATTAGAATCTCACTATGAGAATCTGAGTCTGTTACTCCAGGCAGCACAAATAAACCCATTCTGGTGGTGGAGGACCTTCCAATCAGCAGTGCGTGTATCCCTGGGCTAAGGAGACCCCAACTCCAAGTCGGGATTAGCACTACCTCAGTGGAAGTTATGAAGACTGCGTCCCTGTTGGATAGGTCCAGCCCAGCGCTGGCTCCTGTTCCCCTGTGTTGCATTTGTTTGTTGCATTGGGGCATGCAACAGCGCCCCTCGCCTCCAGTTTTTTGGCACCCTTCTTGCTTTTGGGTGCTTTCGGGGTGCCACTGTTAGGGGTTTCCTAGGGCAATCCCTCTGAAAGTGATCAGGGGCCCCACGAATGTAGCAACCATTTCTGGGTCTGGCTCCCTCCTGTGCTCTTAATTGGGCACTCAGTGCTACTGCCAGTAAATCAGTTTGATGTGTCAAGGAACCAACCCCCTGACAGGCACGAACCAGCTCTGAAATGCTACAGATTTCCCTTTTAGAAGGGTCTGCAGAACTCTTTTACAATCAGGGTTCGCGTTTTCGAAAGCCAGTCGCCTGCTAAGTATTTCCCTGGCTTCCTCGTTTTCAATCTGCCTATCTAGGGCAGATTGCAGCCAATCTAGGAATTGTGTGTATGGTTCTGTTGGGCCCTGCATTATCTTTCTGAATGACAAGTTGGTGTCTTTATCTGATGTGGGTAGTTTTCTCATTGCCCGCATGGCATGTTTTGCTATAACTTCATATATTTCTCTATTGTACCCGGTTTGTGAGTCTATGGAACTCACTGTGAGTTGGTGCGTTGTTACCCCTGCTTGTGGGTCATTAGCATAGGAGCAGATTTCTCTAAAATCGTTCAGCCACACATTGTACGGGGTGTTAGTTAGGCTTATTTTTAAGAGGGTTCTCCAGTCATGTGGCATGAAAATGTATGTGGAGCTCAGTGTTTCTAAAAATGCAAGTGTGTTAGGGGAGGATACACCAGTTTCTCTTATCAGCTGTCTCAGCTCTTTAGTTAGTTCAGCTCTTTAGTTAGGGCTGAAATCGGTGGTTTTGGCGTGGACCAATAATGACGGGACATGCATTTATCACTTGCAAATCCCCTATTCGCAATGCCTCCTCTCTACACAAACCCCATCTATCAATCGATCCCTCTCCGTATGTTGCTTCGTCCCCTCCCGGTAGAGCCATCCAGAAATCCTCCTCCTCATCCCCCCATTCCTCCCCACCGGTAGCCCCTGTGAAACCGGTTCCCTGTGGGTGGGCGGTGGTGGGTAGAGGGGACGGCGCAGGGGCGGGGAAGGATGGGTCGTTTTCCGGTCTGCGTGGCGGGCGAGATGGCGGTGCCCACCCCTGGGCACGTGTTCAGTGGTCATCTGCGGAACGGGTTGGCGAGTAAGCTGGGTTAGCCCCCCCATTGCTGTCACGGGGCCCCCTGCGGTGGTCCCACGGGCTGGGATCTCGCATCTCAGGCCCCGCCCCTTTCCGCCGACTCCTGTCCCTTGGGTTCCCGGTTCCCTTCCCCGTAGTTAAATTGTGAACGGCTCCACTCCGCCCTCCTGCCAGGCTTTGTGTGTTTAAACTTTAGCGCGTAAAAGTTGGGCTGTTGCTAGCAGCGTGAGCGGAGGGTGTGTGTGTTGGTGTTGGGTGCGTTTGTTGTTCTTTGGTGTGCTCTGCTTAATGCAGACATTATTGCTTGCCAGGCTGGGTAAGCATTGTTCGCTTGGGGGTCCCCCCCCGAGCTTTGAGTTTTATGAGGTTTCCTATTTTATCCCAAATCTGTATGTGGAGGGCTTCAACCAGAGGCAGTTCTGGTACAGCCGCTTTAATGAACCGTACCAACTCTGTTAATTCAGCCCTTGTAGCCTGTACGTGATAGGGCTTCAGCAGGGTGGCTAATGCGTCTGTATCCTGTGATAGCTCAGTGGGGAAAAAGTTTCCCATTTTACCATTGAGTCTTGGCGCTGCTAGCATGCGCTGCTGAAGAAGGTCTGTCTGTTTGCTGGTCTGTCCCGGTTCTCTGTCGAATGAGTCTGTGAGGCTAGGGTGCGGCGTCCCGGCATCGGCAGCTGGTGTCCCTGGCGCGGCTGCGAGCGGCGGGCGCGGGGCAGCGGTGGTGGCAGGCGGGCGAGCAGCGCTGGCGTCGGTCGGCTCGGCATCGGTCGGCAGCGGCAGGCGCTGGGTCGGCAGCGGCTGGCGAGCGGCTGCAGGCAATCGGCGTGTGCACGGGCTTCTGTGACGAGCGGCAGCGGCAGCACTGGCGTCGTCGTCTCAGTCATGTGGTGGCGGGTGCCAGTCGTCGGCCGGCGGGTGCGGGCACGGCTCTGTCTACGGCGACCGGGGGGTCCGCGGTGGCGGTTCTGCGCGGGGCAGGAGCAGCGTGGGCGGAGCGGCGGCTGCGGCGGCAGTGGCGGCAGCGGCGGCAGCAGCTCCAGGGTCCCCACAGATTGCTGGGCGGTGCGGGGGCCAGGGCGCTGTAGCGGGAAGGCGCGGCGCGGTGCTTTCGGTAGGTCCCGGCGTGGTTTGAATGTGGCGCGGCGGGTTTGCGGTGGTGCTTTTAAGCGCGCCACAGAACCGGCAGGGGCGGCAGGCAGGCGGGGAGCTGCGGTGGTTTCTGCCAGGCAGGAACCGGTGCAAGCTTTGCGGGGCTGGAGGTTGCTGAGGATGTTGGAACGCGGCAGCAGCGGCGCCGCCTTTTTAACGCACACAGTTGAACCATAGTGCGCAGTTAGTAACGGGGCTTCCCCTGGTGGTTTCAAGGTGCACCGCGACCCAGGTCTCCGAGCTGCAGCACACCCCCCGATCAGGGAAAAGCCTTTACCATGTGAGATGTACGGCTGCGTTCAGCTTGACTCACCGCTCCGGTGTAAGTTGGAGTTCGTTCTGCCTGCTCCTGCTGCTTCGATCTGTCGGCTTCTTCTTTTCTTCGTTCTTCTTCTATCGTGCACTATTTTTAATGTTTTTGGAGCTCCTAAACTAATTTTCTGTTTCTCAGAAGCCACTGAGACAACGGATTTAAAGACGTCTACGTTTTTTGTGGTTAAAAGATTCCCAAGTCAAAATAATAGACTTGATAACCGGAATCTACCATGTGTTATACCTGATCCAGGGTAAATAACTGACTTAATATAAGCTAAAAGAGTGCGAGTTCGGGCACCATGTGTTGTGGGCGCTAGTCCTTGTATAACAAGGAAAAAGACTGCTCCTCATGGTGGGGTGAACAAAGAGACTTTATTTCAAAATCCGTGCTCTTTTATCCTTACATACCATGTGACTTCTTTAGCCAATGGAGTTACCTATGACGGCGCATGCTCTTTTGGGCTTCACTGCCCCGGCACATCCCTTGTGCCTTTAGACACGCCTCCCACAGTGTGTCCTTTTTGGCACTCCATGGGCAGCAAGAGCTTTCTGTGTTTGCACCTTTGGTGTGGAATAAATCTTTGTTCGTATGCAATTTTGGGAGTAGGGCTGGCAGTAGGGAGACAGATGTGAAAAAAGCAAACAAAAGCCCTTATGCCCAGGAAAGAAAGAGTGGAAGCTTTTGCTTTGTGGTGTAGTGTGTGGGCCAGGCTGAGCACTCGATGAGCAGCAAAAGCTTTCTGTTGTGGTACCTTTGTTCTTGAAGTAATCTTCGTCCGTTTGTAATTTTGGGAGTTGGGCTGTCAGTTGGGAGGCAGGGTTAAAAACAGGAAACAACAGCCCTTATGCCCAGGAAAGAAAGTCTGGAAGATTTTGCTTTGTGTTGCATTTGGTGTGTCAACCTGGACACTCCATTGACAGTAAAAACTCGCTCTGCTGGCACCTTTGGTTTGGGAGGAATCTCTTTTTGTATGAAATTTTGGGAGTCGGACTTGCAGTTGGGAGGCACGGTTCAAAACAAGAAAAAACAGCCAATATCCCCAGGAAAAAAAACCTGGAAGCTTTGGCTTTGTGTTGTAGTTGGCGTGTGAACCTGGGCACTCCATGAACAGCAAGAGCTTTCTGTGCTGGCACCTCTAGTGTGGAAGGAATCTTTGTTTGTATGCAATTTTGGGAGTCGGTCTATCAGTTGTGAGGCAGGTGTGAAAAAAGGAAACGAGTCATTTCTCCAGGAAAGAAAATTGGAAACGTTGGTTTTCTGGTGTCCTTGCTGGGTCAGCCTGGGCACTTTATGGGCAGCAAGAGCTTTCTGTGCTGGTGCCTTTGGTGTGGGAGGAATCTTTGTTTGTATGCAATTTTGGGAGTCGGGCTGTCAGTTGGGCAGCACGGTTCAACATAGGAAACAACAGCCGTTATCCCCAGGAAAGAAAGAGTGGAAGCTTTTGCTTTGTGGTGCAGGTGGTGGGTCAGCCTGGGCGCTCCATGGGCAGCAAGAGCTTTCTGTGCTGGCAACTTTAGACTGGGAGGAATCTTTGTTTGTATGCAATTTTGGGAGTCGGGTTGGCAGTTGGGAGGTAGGTATGAAAAGAGGAAACAATAGCCCTTTTGCCCAGAAAAGAAAGTCTGGAAGCTTTAGCTTTGTGGTGCAGCTGGTGTGTCATTCTGGGCACTCCATGGGCAGGAAGACCTTTCTGTGCTGGCACCTTTAGTGTGAAAGGAATCTCCATCCGTATGCAATTTTGGGAGTAGGGTTGGCAGCTGGGAAGCAGGACTGAAAATGGGAAACAGCCCTTATCCCCAGGAAAGAAAAATGGAAGCTTTGGCTTTGTGGTTCAGTTGGTGTGTCAGCCTGTGAACTCCATGGGCAGCAAGAGCTTTCTGTGCTGGCACCTTTAGTGTGGGAGGAATCTTTGTCCGTATGCAATTTTGGGAGTCGGGCTGGCAGTTTGAGCGCAGGGTTTTTTTCAGAAAACAACAGCCCTTTTCCCCAGGAAAGGAAGACTGGAAGCTTTGGCTTTCTGATAAAGTTGGTGGGCCAGCCTGGACACTCCATGTGCAACAAGAACTTTCTCTCCTGTCTCCTTTGTTGTGGCCGGAATTTTCCTCCGTATTCAATTTTGGGACTTGGGCTGAAAAAAACAAACAAAAGTTGTTGTTCCCAGTGTCAGAGACTGAAATGGTTGATTATTTATGCATTCTAGGAGACTCTTGCAGGCTTTTTACTTTTGCATTATACCTCGGATGGACAGTTGGGCCTGTCCCTCCCTCCATTGAAGAGCCAAGTTTGCAGGCTTTTGAGTTTTGCATTATGCCTCTGATGGGCAGTTGGACCCATCCCTCCCTCCAGTAATGAGCCGAGCTTGCAGGCTTTTGACTTTTGTATTATACCTCTGATGGACAATTAGGTCCATCCCTCCCTTCAGTGCTGTAAGGGGGGTACTTTTGAATTAGATGATCAATGGAGCATAGAGGCGTGAGAACGGAATCATATTAGGATGTGAAACCAGCTAGAGTATGGTACAATGTAACTTCATGGCACAAGCTAATTGTAAGGTCCATTGTGCTTTTTAGCAAGTCAGCCTGATATCCCCTATTATCAGAGCTGAGTTCTTCCTTGGTTTTGCTACATATTGCAAGATAGATACATCTACCCTTGAAACACAATGGTAGAGGTCATACATAGGGGTGAGAAAGATGATGATGGGAGGAAGATTATGTGGGCAGGGGTCGTTCGCCCCTTGCCCTACAAGTAGGGCTTGCGCAGACTGTTGCCATTAGGTAATGATCAGGCGGTGTTTGGCTGCCACTCAGGCATCACCTTGCACTGCGTACTGGCCCTACGTAGTGTAATGTGGAACTGATAAAAATGGGGTGTCAGGACTGCTGAGCCGAGCGATCCTCATCCTGCCACCGAGACTGTGTTGCTCCGCGGGGACGCCTGCTAAGCATGATTGCCGACCAGCTGCTGCAGATCCTGACAGCCCTGGCCTGTCTGTGTGGGTAAGCAGTTTTTTGATAGGAAGCAACTGAGAGAACAAACTTTTTAATATCCTTTTAGTGTTCCTTTAATTCTCCTTTTATGTTTATAGTCTTTTTCCTTTATTTTCCCTTTTTACTAACCAATATCGTGTTATCCATAATATTGTGTTAAGATCCTTTTTTTTCTGGTATCCTTTTTCACTAGTTAATACTGTATTAAATGCTGTTCGTAGTATTTGTTTTAATGCCACCCGATAAGGTAGTTATTTTGTATCCTTTTTTAGTTTTTAATTCCTCTTTCTAAGTTTATCACTATTATTTTTATTCTCACTGTAATAAAAGATATTTTGTGTGTTTGAATATTTTTGGCACTTGTCTTTATTCCGGACATGTATCCAAACGAACTGTTACAAGTGCTGAAGGTGTCAAGCCCTGAAAAGGCAAGAAGAAAACAACTCCCCGCCTCAGGGGAGATGCAAAAGCATGCTGAGGGTATATAAACTGACTGCTGACTTTGGGATTTTGGGTTTTCCTTCTCCCCTACCGCCTGCAAATCGAAACCATCACTTTCAAGATTGCCAAGCTGCATCGCTGGATCCAGTGGGTGGTGACTATATAAGTTTCTTTCTCACTCTCTTCTTTCTCCTTGCTCTCCCTTACTCTTATCGTGTCTTTCTCTCCCCTATGCATTTTCTTCCCCCCCAAAGGTTATCTCTATGTCACATCGTTATATGACAACACCCAAAATGCTAGCATACCTGTTGATAGAGAATTGTTAAAATAAACCTTACCAATATATGTTTTCAGACAGCGATTATTCAGTGTCTTTTCACTCTAATCCACCCCAAGGGAATTATTGATAAAAACCTGGGTTACCCCCCCCTTTTCCTGGGACGGGTCGTAACACCCCAGGAAGGAAAGCCTGGATGCTTTGGCTTTGTGGTGCAGTTGGTGGGCCAGCCTGGGCACTCCATGTGCAGCAGGAGTTCTCTGTCCTGGCACCTTTGGTCTGGGAGGAATCTTCCTCCATCAGCAATTTTGGGACTCAGGCTGGCAGTTTGAGCGCAGGGCTGAAAAACAGCCCTTATCCCCAGGAAAGAAAGCCTGGAAGCTTTGGCTTTGTGGTGCAGTTGGTGGGCCAGCCTGGGCACTCCGTGTGCAGTATGAGCTTTCTGTCCTAGCACCTTGGGTGTGGGAGGAATCTTTGTTTGTATGCAATTTTGGGACTAAGGCTGGCAGTTTGAGCGCAGGGTTGAAAAACAAACAGCCCTTATCCCCAGGAAAGAAAGCCTGGAAGCTTTGGTTTTGTGGTGCAGTTTGTGGGCCAGCCTTTGCATATTAAGCACTGTTGGAACAGCCTTAACCCTTATGAATCCCCATTGCCCTCAGAATTTACCTGCAGAGAGGAAGGACATGTTTCTGAGCTGCACAAACCCCACGTTCCTCATGACACAGCAAGTTAGCTTGGGTCTGATTCTGAAGAATTGCAGACACGTGACCCCCCGAGCGTGGCAGGGTCCTGTTTCAGCAGGGTCGAGTCCATTCCTTTCTGGCTCAGGGCCAGCGTGTCCTGCTTTCAGATGTCTGCTTTGGAGAGCAGGGCCTGCTGGACCCCACAGGGCTGCTCTGCGGGATGTGCTGTGGGCCCACTCAGAGAGCTTCCCTCTGCTCTCTGGGGCTGACTACTGGATTCCTGCACTTTCCTCTGCTTTCCATTTCCAGGAATAAAGGTTGACTTTTCAAATCACGATGGCTGTATGCATGTGTGCGTGTGTTTGTGTATGTGTTGTAGGACAGAAATTGTGTGAACAGTTTCTGTTGCATGTCTGTGATTTCTCCCCTGGCATGGCTGGGTGCAGATAGTAAAAAATACTGCGCCACTAAGATGGCTACTCGAGCTAAAGTGAGAACAAAGGTGGATTCATGCCAGATGCCAAGGAGGAGTTTTGGCAGGTGAATAAAATTTTCTCATCTATGACCACCTGTTGTGGTCCAATTAGCAATGGACAACAGAGCATGTTTTCCTTATGTAACCAATGTAGTGTGAACAAGAAGCTAAGCGTCATGAGCACTATATAATCTGTGTTTCTCCTAATAAAGTAGACATTTTGCCTGATCACATTGGTCTAAGAGCAGTTTGTCCGTACCCTTCCATCAAGATGTATGAAGACTTGGAAACTCAAGACGCCATTAATGCCTGAACCACTTCCCAAAAAAGGCTGCCACTTGGAGGCCATGAGCTTATATTTACTTCTGTTTCTTACATGACAACACTCTGCCATCAAAAGATGAGCTAAGACTAGACTTCTCTTTTCATTTCGAGTTTGTGTAGGACCGGAAAAGCAAAGAACTTCCTCCTGGAGGTTAGAGAGGGGAGTCATACCCAGTCCAGAGTGTCATTGTAAGAACAGCAGTGAAGGAAAGAAGAACAAGGGGGAGAAAGAATGGCAGAAGATATCATTTATGCTGACTTGTACTTGCCTGAATCAGCCAGACCCAGAGTACAGAAGGTCACTGATGTCCAAGGTAGGTCACTTGGTGTGCACTGAGCTTTCTTTGCATTCTTCAGTTTGTTTTCCACATATTTTGAAGGCGTGCCATGGAGCACCAAAGCCCCAAAGAGCATGAAGGAAATGTGAGGGCCAGTGCTGGGAAAAATGTGCAAGTGGGTTGTCCAGATACAGTTTTTTACCACAAAAAAAAAATGTAGGGAAGATTGTACTAAGGTGTACTTTTCATTTTTAAGGTGAAAGTGTAAGGGAGAGTATCTTGTTTGATATAAAGAGTAGTTTTTTTCAATTTTGGAGACTGTTCCACAGCTGAACACCCAGTGGCCCTGAACCAGGCAGACTCTGATTCCTGCAGCAAAGGGATCAGGATTGAGTGTCTCCTGTTGCTGGTGTTTGCAGCAGTCTCAGGCACAGGCTATTTCTGCTCCCTGAGCACAGCAGACATTGCCTCGGGGTTTTTCCTCCTGGCTTGGTCTGTGCAAACTACTTTTTGAATACATCAAGAACAAAATGTTTCATGGACAGGTTTGGTGTGATTTAGTACCAAAGGCTTTGCAAAATTCTAACCTATGATTTAGCTTTCTTTAATGCACTAAAAATTATTGCACAACCTTTTGCATTGGTTTTGCTACATCTGCATGACATTAGTTCCTAAAAAGCAGACTTTGTGTCTCTGTTCATTTTTTTCCTTCCCTTTCTTTTTAATCTTCCTATCTCTTTGACAAAAATAATTCCTTGTTATTCTGTGCTCATCTTTTATAGAAAGTGTGAATCCTGCTTATCTATTTTCAGATGGGTGGAGTTTCTCACACACCAAGAAACAGTGTTTTATCACCTGTTTCAACAGATAATTTCATGGCTAAATGGACAGGCAACCACAAGAGATGCCACCTAATTAAAAGTTCCATTTGCCTTATCATTTAATCCATATATTCCTATATAGAGTTTTTATAAAGTTTGAACAGCATTTTTTCTTTCTCTGCTTGTGCCTTTCAGGGAACCCCCTACCAATTCTTTGCTTCTATGTGTTCACTGAATTTATGCAAAATATTTCCCAGGTATTATCTCCCTCTCAAGACATTTTTGTTCACTTTTGTCTACATTGCAAATGTGTGCGTGTGCCCATGTCTCTTCTGTTATTGTCTGCACTGAAGAAAAGCCAGATCTGTTCCTGCTTTGAGCAAGTCCTACAGGATGTGAATGTATCATCATAGAATATAGAACCATAGAATATTCTGAGTTGGAAGGGACCCACAGGGATCATCGAGTCCAACTCCTGGCTCTGCACAGACACCCCAACAATCCCACCATGTGCCTGAGAGTGTTGTCCAAACACTCCTTGACCGCTGTCAGCCATGGTGCTGTGCCCACTGCCCTGGGGAGCCTGTTCAGTGCCCAACCACCCTCAGGGAGAAGAACCTTTTCCTAATATCCAACCTAAACCTCCCCTGACACAGCTCCAGATGTTCCCTCAGGTCATGTCACTGTTCACCACAGAGAAGAGAATTGGCTTCTTTAATGGAGAAAAATACTATTTAGGCATATTTAAACACTTAAGTTGTTTTCATGTGTTCATAATTTCTTATAATTTCAGACATTTCTGTTTCCTTTAAGTTGTTTTTCAGCTCTCTGTGTACTCTGTTATTTTTGCTCGGGCTCAGGTTCTACATACACAGAAGTGAAACTGAATTCCCGAGACACAAATGCTGCAACAGGACACACATCAGCTGGTGAGTTTTTAGCTGTGTGATAAATTGTTAGGGCTTTAAATGAGAAGGGCAGAGGGGGCCATACCTTATGTTCCAAAAATGCGGTGATATAAACCTGTGTGAGAGATAGAAACAGGCAATTGTTCACTCTACATTATCAGAGCAGGGAGAACTCAAATGCAGCTAAACCCTCGTCAGCTTCACTGACAGAGGAAAATAAGGATATTATGGGCCAAACAAAGAAATCACCCAGCCCAGCCTCCTGTCGCCAACAGCACTGAAAAGTCAACAACTAAAGTTGAAGTAGCAGACAGTGGGCATGTGTGATATCTTCTGGTAATAGTTTCATATGCAGTACTTTCACATTTCCCTCAGGGACTTACTGAGACTATGATTCCTAATGCAAGAGGATTTAATGTCATCATTCCCAGGAGATCTTCAAAACCTGACTGTGCCTGGTCCTGGACACCCTGCTCTGGCCAACACTGCTTGAGCAGGGCAGTTGGAGTAGGTGATGTGAGAAGGTCACTTCCAATCTAAACCATTCCATGGCTGTGTGGTCGGAAAAGCAGAGCTGCTGTCCACAGATCTCCTCTATTGTTTTTTTGACTTGAGTTCATAGTAGATCTCTTACTTTCTAGTCCCTGGGTGCAAAGAGAGCTTTAGGAGTGGGATTCCAAAACAGCACTAGCAATGCAGCTATATGCCACCTAATGTCCCTTGGAATTGGTCACTATATTCTGCTTTACTGGATAGTCAATCTGCTCTTCACAGCTGTGTCACCTTCCTTTAGCCTGTTCCTAGAGCATTCTTGGCAGGTGCCTTGTATTGGCCACATGTTCCAAGGTGCTGTCCTTCAATAACCCCAAGGCTGCCTCTGTGGATTTCAGTCTCTCTGAGCAGACATTTTTAGCACCTTTTTGACAGTCACCCTCTCCTTGGTGCAGTTCCCTCTCTTACACACCCACTCTCTAGTTGTCCTTATACAAACCAGTGCTATGAGGGCTCTCTTCCCTTTAACCTGTTCCTCAAACACATTCCATATCACTGTTCCGTTCCCCAAGCCCAGGTGTCCAGAGCCACCAGGACATTCAGCCTGGCTTCAGCAGGCAGATCTGGAAGGCCTCAGATTCCCAGAGTGAGCCTGAAAAAGGCACCTGAGAGTGAAGAGGAAGGGGCTTTTTTCCAGCTCTTAACCTTTAACATTTATTTTTTCTATCTGTAGGTAGAAGCTGTTCCAGAAAACATGTTGCTGCACTAGTTGCTTTATTGGTTGTGATAATCCTCCTACTGGTCCTGGCTGGGTGTCTGGTACACCAGTGTAAGTTCTGAAATAAATGTAATAACAGCAATTAATTTGTGCCTCTCACTCACCCAGTGACATCTAGGTCATGACCTCCAATGCCAGTATCAACAGAAGGACAGTTTGAAGGCAAAAGACAGCAACTTTTAACAAACTGTGTTTGAAAGAGGAAATCCGTAAGAGAGTACAGTCGCTTGAAAGTTTAAGTATCAAAACAACAATACACAAAACCCAACACCCAATTGAAAAAGTGACAATGTTCAGATACTAAAGAATTTATTACACAGATGTTTTGGAGAAAGAAATCAAGATAAAATAATACCTTTTGGTATTAGGATTGCGATTGGTGAGAATATTTCAAGACGACATTGTATCATGTCAACAAGATGACTGTGACAGCAAAATCTTTAAATATGAATAAAAGGTCATTTTATAGAGGCAGCTAAGTCATAACTTAAGGAAGTGTATTTACAACTTCAAGGAATCATTTTTAAATTTCAGTTGGGCTTGACTGTATTTTTCCCATCCTTTGATAGCTGAGCAAGCTTGAGAGGCTTCCACAATCAATCACAACTGATGAAAGTTTTTAAAACCTCACAGGAACTCTGCTTTCTTGTTCTGGCCTGGGGGAGCAGCACTGTTGGAGCAGCTTCCAGCTGGGGCACAGGAGGGCTCTGCCCCAATATGTGCCCAGGGCTGTTCAGTGTGGGAGCAGACAGTGCAACTGGGATTGCAACAGTTCAGTGGGATTGCAACTCCAGGCTGGGTGGGAAATGAGCTGAGCCAAGGGCACAATGGCTGGAGCCCTGAGCTCCCAGAAATGGCTCCTGTTTCCTCTTGCTGTGGTTCTGTGTGTGCTGTGCATTACAGTCACCACTGCTCTGAAAAGGTGTGAGGCAATTCTGGTTCAGTTTCAGAGTCTGGCTCTTTGGAAATCTGCCCTGCAATAGGAAGGACTGTTTTGAGAGGTATTTTTTAATGGATGAGCAAAAAGGTAGACAGGGCATTCTATACTGGGTGATGGGGATGTCAAAGAAGTCCAGGACAGCTTTGACAGTGTATAGAAAAATAATCCTTCATTCCAAGCAGAAATTGTATTGTTATTTTCCAGATCATCCAACTGCAAGCAGCCCACAGGACTCAACAACATTGCCCCAAGTCCCTGATGAGGCACTAGGTAGGTAATGCTCTGTCATTCCAAAGAGTTTCCAGAAGCCTGTTGGATTGCCTCTGAAGGGCAGCAGGAGAGGGGCTGTGTCTAGATTTTGTTCAGAAGGGAAATATGGCTTATTAATGGCTTAATAAGACAAGACCCAGCAGCAAGGATTGCAAACAACCAAATCCTTTATTTGAAGGAAAAGCCCCCAGTATATACCCTCGGGGGGCATGTGATTCGCCTAGACCCAATCACAGCAGAATACACACTGCCTATGTGTGTCAGTGTACTTCTGGAGATCCCAAACCCCAGAATGCCTCACCCTGTATCCCTGGGGTACATCTCCTACAGGGAAACAAACACATAAAACCTCAGCCATCTCAGGAATCAAAACCTTATCCAAGAGACTCCCAGGATGAGCTCTGGAGGACAGAGATGTTTCCCATTTGCATCTCCTTTAGGAGCAGGGTTGGGTCAGCTCTGCACTTCTGTCTCAGAGGTGGGAAGAGCTGATGACTCTCTCCTGCCAGTGCAGAGGAGTCTGTGGCAGGGGAAGGCACAGAAATAACAATTCCTCTGGTATTCTAGCACTGCAGTGAGCAGGATGGATAATGTGCTTGGACTGCTTTTCCAATCCCCTTCCGTTCTTGGCATCTTAACTCAGTGCAATTGCCTTTTGCTGTTTAGGAGCTGCTGGATCCCCAACAAAAGTGTCTCATGCAGGCCCTGTCTCCCTGAATCTCATCCCCCTTTCCAGGTCCCATTCTCTGTTCCTTGTGGTCCCTGCCTGGCAATGGAGAGAAATGTTCAATCTCTTAGCAGCACCACGACTGAAAGATGCTTTTTTTGCCCTGATCATTTCTCTCTATCTGCTGAGCAAAGAGTGGCATGGCTGGATAATGTTTTTTGTGGTGCTCCCTCTCTGCCTATTGCCTGGTGACTCTTGGGCTGGGATCAGCTCCAGAGACTGTTGGAGATCCCTGGGGGGTCTGGTACAATTCTAAGCAGGACCACACAGGTATTTCTCTGGCTCTGGTTTCCTCTCTTACCTCTCTTTTGTCATGGGATCGTTTTGTGAGTGTGAACATGGATTTTCCCATATCCGTTCTTCCCTCCTGCAGCCTGCCCCAAACAATGGGAAAAACATGGGAGAAAATGTTACTTCTTTTCTCCAAATACACAAAAGGACTGGAATGCCTCCCGTAAACAATGTACTGCCATGGGTTCAGACCTGGTGATCATTGACAACAAGGAAGAACTGGTGAGATCTAAATCCATGGGGCTGTTCCAGGGTTATTTGGGCTACAGGGCAAAGGCCTGAGGAGTTCCACTGGTGTCTGCTCCTGTTGGATGTGTTTGGGGTCTCTAATCTGCTGCCAGCCACTTGGCATAGCTGGATGCTCACTGTGCCCTCTGTGTTGGCCATTTAGCACAAGCTTTCTGTACCTCTGATGAAGAAAATGTAATTTTAATGTATTGTCATGGTTTGCTTCCTTTCAAGCACTACCTCACTGAACAATCAAGACACAATTACTACTTACTTGGTCTCACATACTCTGAGAGGGAGCAGAAGTGGAAGTGGATTAACAACATGGAACATGACCCAGCCCTGTAAGCTCATTGCAGCAAGTCCCTGTCAGGCAATGTCTGGAAACAGGGAAAACCCCAAAGCCAGAGCAGACAGTCAAGAACACAAGTGAGATCAGGGACTGAGATTGGGCCTGATTCCTTGAGATACAGATGTTTCTGCTTCCTGTGACAAGAGGGAGCCTTGAAGTCCTATGGGAACACAGGCAAGTCCCATTAGGATGGCAAGAGAGGAAACAACTGGAGTTCTGGTGGGGAAGGAAAGATCTGACTGATGGAGTTGTGTGGGGAAAGGAAGGATAGAGGAGGCAGGGACAAGAGAGAGTGTGATGTCAGATGGAGGATGAAGGAGACCAAAGCAGGGGAGGGTCTCTGGATGGGAAAGCTTTGCCCAAATACTTTTGTTGAGAACTGGGGAAGAAAAGCAAGGAGTGGGAGGGAGACTCCAAGAAGGCAGTTTCTGCTCCCCCTGACAACTTGGCAGAAAGGCCAGGGGCCACTGTGCCTTTCACTGCATCACATCGGCTGTGTCAGGAATGAAACTAAACCTGGCTTTCTCTCCCTCTTCAGGTTTAATATAAGTGGACCTCATGGTGACTATCTCTGCACAGTCATTGGATTTAGGGAAGTACACACTGCACCTTGCAAGGGGGTCAAATCAACACAAAATATGTGTGAAAAAGCTGCAACTCTTTCAGAAAAGCTGCAACGAAAGCTAGACAGAGAGCTAAAAAGAAGAGTTCCAGGCAGGAATGTTATCCCTAGCTTCCTGTAGGATATGTGGATGGGATTTTCGTCATTCATTTTTAGCTGCCCAAATATGTAGTCAAAGGTGCTCCTCCAGGCTCCCTCCAGACCTCTTGTCAACCTCAGCCCACCCTTTCCCAAGATGGGAGTCTGAGACTGGGTGGATCCCCCTCCAGAGGAACCTGCATTTGCCCACAGTGGGAGTCTGGGACTTGCTCCTTCCAGAGAGAGCTCTGACTTTCAGGCAGCCCCAGTCAGGGGAGATGAGTCCAGCCTGGGGGACAGCTGTGATCCCCAACAGATCCTGTCTCTCACAAACACATCCATCTCTTCCCATATGTTCCCAGTCCTGCCTGTCCACAAGAAGACACTTCCCAGACCTGCCATGCCCTGCTCTGCCCTGCAGCCACAAGTGCACGTGAACACAGATACCTAGTTTGGCTCCTGCCCTGTCCCACAGATATGACTGACAGGACAAAGTCACATGTGTATGTGTATAAACCTTCCTATGGACAAAACTGGCTGTTAAAAAGCCAGACAAGGTACCAGACCCTGTGGGGCTGAAATGGGAATCACCACAAGAGGAACGATCCTCCACCACCACAGCTTTGTGAATGAAATCCCCCCTGGTCCTGTGAAGGTCAGGGAAGGTGTATCAGGTTCAGGACATGTTGGGGAAGGGCACAGGATGCAGAGCAGCAGAGACCAGCAATGCTTGAAAAACAGAGTCACAATTGAAGCTCATCTGGACAGAAAACAGGACAATCAAACCCAGAGCTACCAGGGAAGAAGCTGGTGAGAAGAGTGAGAGCGACCTACAGGGACTGACAACACAGTGCACTGCCCTCTTTTTCCTGGAGAATCATTGAAGCACAAAATTGTGCCTGAAGTTTTTTCCTTCTTCGACAAGTTAGTGCCAATGCCAGAAACAAGTGGTACCTGGAAAACAGAGATGTGATCAGCAAACAGGGAATGTTACCAAAGCTCTTCCAATGTGCTTCAATGGCTCTTGGGACCCTGGGCTTTTTGGGCCATTTTTTTTATTGTGTCCTTTGAGGCAGAATCATTCCTACTTAAAATGGTGACATTCCTGGCTCTCTCCTTAACCTGCAGGATGGAGAAAGCTCCTTGATGAAGTGATGGTGATGGCCAGGGTTCTCTTTGGGGGAAAATACCTTTTGTTTAATCAGAGAACTTATACTCATCATGTTGTGGCCAAAGGTAGTGAAAATGGAATTATACAGGAGAAACTGCCTCTTTCTGTCTCTCAGAAAAACAATCCTCTTCACTACCCTCATTTGACAAGAGGCTTTGGAAATATATTTGTAGTTCTTTGCCTGACTTTCGATCCCCAAAGAGCAAAGTAAGAACATGAAG